TTATCTTGGGTTTCTTCCCTTCAGCACTTCTCTGTAGAAGGTCAGTTGGAATTCAGGGCATTGTTGTTCATCCCTCGTCGGGCTCCCTTTGACCTCTTTGAGAACAAGAAGAAAAAGAACAACATCAAACTCTATGTCCGTCGTGTATTCATCATGGACAGCTGCGATGAATTGATACCAGAGTATCTCAGTGAGTATCTCCTTCGCCTAATTTAGTTGGGGAAGAGTTAGGTCTTCAGCATTCTATTGGAACTAATGTTTTTATACTACTAAATAATTAACAGTTCCTTGCAACATAGTAATAGGGGATTCTGGGAATATCAGAGCCTTCTGTTCATATCTGGGTGCCCAGGCCTTGTCTAGCTGTTTCTACTAAGCTTTCTACCTTGATTGATGGCAGACTTCATCCGTGGTGTGGTTGACTCGGAGGATCTTCCTCTGAACATCTCCCGAGAAATGCTTCAGCAGAGCAAAATCTTGAAAGTCATTCGCAAAAACATTGTTAAGAAGTGCCTTGAGCTCTTCTCTGAGTTGGCGGAAGACAAGGAAAACTACAAGAAATTCTATGAGGCGTTCTCTAAGAACCTGAAGGTGAGGAGGCAAATGCTTATTCCATTGATTACTTCCTTAATTATGATAAAGTTTTCATACAGAGAGTTAGGTTATTTCCAATTAAGTTTTTTCTCTTCCTACTCTTAAAGCTTGGAATACATGAGGACTCCACTAACCGGCGACGCCTGTCTGAGCTGCTGCGCTATCATACGTCCCAGTCTGGAGATGAGATGACTTCTCTGTCAGAATACGTCTCTCGAATGAAGGAAACACAGAAGTCCATCTACTACATCACTGGTGCGTTGGAACCTTGGTCTGATCAAAGCCACTTTCTGGGTGGGGGCATATCCAGGGCTCTCTGGGAACTGGCAATATGAGGCATTTTGGTCCCCCTGAGTTGCATTTAATAACCTTATAGGTGAGAGCAAAGAGCAGGTGGCCAACTCTGCTTTTGTGGAGCGAGTGCGGAAGCGGGGTTTTGAGGTGGTGTATATGACTGAGCCCATTGATGAGTACTGCGTGCAGCAGCTCAAGGAGTTTGATGGGAAGAGCCTGGTCTCAGTTACCAAGGAGGGCCTGGAGCTACCTGAGGATGAGGAGGAGAAGAAGAAGATGGAGGAGAGTAAGGCAAAGTTTGAGAATCTCTGCAAGCTCATGAAGGAAATCTTGGATAAGAAGGTTGAGAAGGTAAGCAGCTCTGGGACTAGGATGTATTTTGAATACTTCGGGACAGCCTCCCTTGGGATCCCATGTTGCTACTACACAGTGGTTGAGGCATCCTATTTTGTTTTTGTTTTGAGACAGAGTCTCACTCTTTTCCCCGGGCTAGAGTGCCGTGGCATCAGCCTAACTCACAGCAATCTCAAACTCCTGGGCTCAAGCGATCCTCCTGCTTCAGCCTCCCAAGTAACTGGGACTACAGGCATGCGCCACCATGCCCAGCTAATTTTTTCTGTATATTTTTAGCTGTCCAATTAATTTTTCTTTTTTTTTGTAGAGACGGGGGTCTTGCTCTTGCTCAGGCTGGTCTCGAACTCCTGAGCTCAAACAATCCGCCTGCCTTGGCCTCCCAGAGTGCTAGGGTTACAGGCGTGAGCCACCGCGCCCGGCCCCTATTTTGTTTAGAGCCTGCTTGGCTCTTGTTCTTTCTCCTAGCCAGGTTCATGGCTATTTCTATAAAATTTGGTCAAGATTAAGTATTGCTTCAGCTACCCTTTTTCTTTGAGACAGCATCTTGCTCTGTCCTAGGGTAGAGTGCAGTGGCATCGTGATAGCTCAGTGCAATCTCAAACTCCTGGATTTAAGCAATCCTTATGCCTCAGCCCCTTGATTAGCTGGGACTCTACAGGTGGGAGTCACCATGCCCAGCTCATTTTTACATTTTTTTGTAGAGATGAGGTCTTGTTATGTTGTCCAGGCTAGTCGTGAATTCCCAGGCTCAAGAGTTTTTCCACTTTGCCCTTCCAAAGTGTTGGGATTACAGGTGTTGAGCCTCTGTACCCTGTCTGCTTTAGGTACTTACTTATGAGAGTAGAAACTAAATACCATCATTTTCACCTTCAAATGTTAATTGATCTAGTGCAAATCCATTGTTCTTATGACTGTCCATAGGTGACAATCTCCAATAGGCTTGTGTCTTCACCCTGCTGCATTGTGACCAGTACCTACGGCTGGACAGCCAACATGGAGCGGATCATGAAAGCCCAGGCGCTTCGGGACAACTCTACAATGGGCTACATGATGGCCAAAAAACACCTGGAGATAAACCCTGACCACCCCATTGTGGAGACACTGCGACAGAAGGCTGAGGCAGACAAAAATGACAAGGCTGTTAAGGACCTGGTGGTGCTGCTATTTGAAACCGCGCTGCTCTCCTCTGGCTTCTCCCTTGAGGATCCACAGACCCACTCCAACCGCATCTACCGCATGATCAAGCTAGGCCTAGGTAAGTAGCCTTGATACTAGTTACTAGTGTGACTAGGAGTCGTGGAACTGGTCTCTAGGACAGATTAGACTTAATGCCATTGGGTCAAGTCTCACGTGGCTCTCTTTTTCCTTTAGGCATTGATGAAGATGAAGTGACAGCAGAGGAACCCAGTGCTGCTGTTCCTGATGAGATCCCACCCCTTGAGGGTGATGAAGATGCATCTCGCATGGAAGAAGTAGATTAGGAGTTTATACTTGGAAACCTTGTGCCCTCTGTATAGTGTCCCCATGGTCCCCACAGCCTTGAGTGGCCCTGTCCCCCTTGGCTTCCTCTGCTAATGTCTAGTTTTTTTCTCTCCTGTCGTTGTGTCTAAGGCAGGAGACAAGGGCCTCAAAGCCCCATTCCCTTCCTAATTTGACAAGGGGATTGGATGTTGTGCATTGTTTTTGTTTATTTTGTTCTGAAATTAAAGTATGCTGAATAAAGAAGATGCAGTTTTATACAAAAAAAAAAAGTAAAGAGACAGAAAATAGAAATTATTAGACTTAAAAGGAGTTAAAATATATTTGACAAGTTTGAAGGTCAAGCATCATGTGCTCTAAACATAAAAGGCTGTTACAAGGAAGAGAAGGTAGTCAGTTTATGTATTGTTAAAGAGTGCAATACAGGGGTGTGAGAGTAAAGTAGGAAAGATTGGGTAGTGGCAGCTACGTCTTCACTGCTCATGAGAGCCCTGCAAATGATGACGTTATAGGATTCCCTGACTGTCATACCTTCCAAAGTAATGTGAAATGGTCGGAGAGCTGTTAAACACGACGTGTTTTCACTGCCTCCTATTTACCCCATTGGTGAAAGAAGGATTCTGGCCATAAGGTTCTGGGAACTGGCAAATATATGACACCTAACACAGGACAGATGAGGCCAACAGCAGTTTATTAGTTGCATATTCTCATAGCCTAGGGGAGGAGGACAGGGCATTCTGTACAGGACCACACCAAGGTTGCATCTGGGGACAGAGTACACAACCAGGGGATGTGACAGGCAGACTTTGAAGCATCAAGAGGGTGGAGTGACCCCTGTTTCCCTCTAGAGGATGTAATTGGCTTGTTTGAAGAATTCCACAGGCTGGAAGAGAACTGAAACCTGCTACTCTGGGATAAAGCAGGAATTGCTCTTAGTCCCTTTGATAAGGAGAGTAGCTAGAAGACCTTATTCCTGGGAGCAGAGTTGGGAGGGGAGCTTGTGATTAGACCATTTAAGATCCTCCCAATTTTACCAAATATCAGGGTAGCACATATTATTGGGCCTTGATTTGGGACCTTAAACTGCATGATGATAAGAAACATTGTCAAAAAATGTATCTTTTATTTCACAGAGGGCCAATAGAGGTAAATTACAAAGTAGCTCTCGGTTGGGTAGGAAACAATTATTTTCTCTTGGGGCAGAGGTGAGGTAAAGGGGAGTGAAAATATCCTCGGGGACTCTTCTCTTTTAGCCCTCTGTGCTTAGTAGACACTGACCATGCCTGGGCCTTGCAGGAGGACATTGGTGGACAGAACAGGCAAGAAATGTCTTCTGATATTTTCCTTGACTTCTATGTCTTCCTCTTTGTTCTCATGGAAAAGTTTAAGAATTCAGCTTTATTTTTCTTGTGGAGCTTAGACAATAGCCGTAGGTCTAATCTTAGCAAAACAGAGGAGGAGGAAGAAATAATCTTTAGTTCTCTTTCGTATTTTATTTCTGGACTCCCTCTGATGTGTTAGCATCTTCTTAAACCATTTCTCCAACATATTCATGCCGTATCTCAGATTTACTTTGGCTCCCTAGAAGGCCTAGCTTTAATCCCATTATTGTCCTGCACCCAACTGTGGGTCCAGTCTTTAGGTTCATCAAGACTTGCATTTACTCAGCGTCAGTATCTTCTATTTACTTGCTATGGTGTATGGACAAGAAGATTTTGAACAAATAGATCTAGACTCTGCTAATGGATCTGTTATTAACTGTGTGAACTTAAGCAACTTCCTTCATCTCTAAGCACATGAGGGCTTTCGTTTTTTAAAATTAGTCAGACTGTGATCTCTGAAGTATCTTTTAGTTCTTTCATTTTATGCCTTTAAATCTTCATAAGAGAAGCCTGGACCTCAGACCTGGCTTTAAAAGGAGTTGGTTCCTAAAAAAAAAAAAAAAAAAAAAAAAGTTGGTTCCCGTTGTACAAGAGCAAGCTTAATAGTCTTCCCTCCTGAAATGAAGTTTACTCCAGTTTGAAGTTCGTGTTCCTGGTGGGTGCATCTGCTGACTGCTTGACCTTCATCTGGGGTTTCATTCCTGATTTTCTGTTCTGCCTTTTTTTTTTTTTTGAGACAGAGTTTCACTGTGTTGCCCGGGCTAGAGTGAGTGCCATGGCGTCATCCTAGCTCACAGCAACCTCAAACTCCTGGGCTCAAGTGATCCTTCTGCCTCAGCCT